TACCACTGCAGCACAGTGGACATCAATGGACCTCTGGGCAGTCTGGGAATCCCGGCATGATTCAGTACACCACTGTTAACATCCCTCCTGAGCCGCCAAAAGACCATCTCATCTGGTCGCTCTTCAACTTGGTCTACGGAAACATTTGCTGTCTTGGATTGGCGGCTGTCATTTTTTCTGTCAAGGTGAGTTGATGCAAAACAGTTTTCCTAGAATTTATATACAGCTTCTGATTATGAAACAAAAGAGAGAGGAACACACGTAATGACAAGACAGTGTTTAATTAATGCAGAACAACTGGGAAAATTAAAATCTAAAGGGTTCAGCTTTGGGTTAAATGTGAGTAAATAAAGAAGAAGCCTTCCTTTCACAAAACCAAGAAATGGAGGCATTTCAATGCTATGATTTCCATTTCTGTTGAAACCATTTGGGTCAGAATTAACTGGAAGGATCAGGTGAATAAATGGGCAAACTTTACAATATTTGCCTTTAAAAGACAGTAACTCTGGTTTCAATGTGATGAATGATTCAGATTAAAACTCAAGCTATCAAGAGACCCTCCATTCAGTTTTTTTTTTCATTTGTTGCCCCGATTATAGATTTTATAATAGAAATATCACAAAGCAATATTTTTCTTTTAAAGTTAGAAAGAAGAAATGTCTTTTATTTACTTTCTCCTTTTCATTGTTAGAAGTCTAGTCTTCAGGTTGCTGCTGAACTCAAAGTTTCATGAAACGATAACAGATGTTCCAGTTTTCTGTACAAAGTACAAATTTCACTATTTTGGTGCAATTTTTAAATACCAATATTTTGCTGTTTTCAGGCCAGAGACCGGAAGGTGGTTGGAGATCTGAGCGGCGCCCGAAGTTACTCCTCCACTGCTCGCGTTCTCAACATTGTGGCAACAACCCTGATGATTTTGGGAATCCTTATTTTCATCATTATTTTTGCTATCCAAGTACACTTCTATTTAGCTTATAAAAACCGTAATACCCTTATTGATCACTTGCAGCCCCTTTACAAATGGAACCCCCCCCTCATCCCTCAGTGAGGTCTAGAAGCACAAGATCTATGTCCGTCCATTCAGCATAGATCCTGCTACACGGCTGTACATCTAATTTTGGCATTTGAACAATCAGATTATCCCTTGAATGATTGATTACCTACTGGAAATTAGGTTAGAAAAAGAAAGTTAACAAGTCAAGAGAAAAAAGTAGAAAGTTAATCGAATAGTTAAAAAATAAAGAGTAAACATTTAATAAGCCGAGTTAACGATGATATTTTGGTTTAGCATTAATGCCTCTAAGGTTTTGTTGGATTAAATAAAATGTGTTTCTTTCACTCTCAGTGTTTTTCATGAACTTCTTCTTGAAGCACTTTTGTTATTTTTCTTAAGATATTCGGGGAAGTTGGAGTTTCTTGTTAATACTTTGACATAAATTTTAACCTTGAAAAATATCCATATTTTTTGAACGTTACAAAGGTAATAAGCTCTGGTCCTGGATTCCACTGACACTTGAAATTTCACTGAGTGCCCTATAAAGGGTTAAGAGCGTAAAAAGGCTTAATCAGAAATACTTTAATAATCCCAAAGGGAAATTACTTAAATTACTTCCCATTGCCTATTTGAGCCGATGTAACAGGTAAACGTAGTAGATCGACCGGCCATGGTCTTGGGCCAGAAAAGGGTAGAGTGCCTTCTCCGGGTCAGGGGGGGTGTCCTGCCCCAAGTGGAGGAGTTTAAGTATCTCGGGATCTTGTTCAGGAATGAGGGAAGATGGAGCGGGAGATCGACAGGCGGATTGGCGCAGTGTCTGCCGTGAAGCGGGCGCTGTACCGGTCCGTCGTGGTGAAGAGAGAGCTGAGTCAAAAAGCAAAGCTCTCGATTTACCGGTCAATCTACGTTCCTACCCTCATCTATGGTCATGAACTCTGGGTCATGACCGAAAGAACGAGATCCTGGATACAAGTGGCCGAAATGGGTTTCCTCCGTAGTGTGTCTGGGCTCTCCCTTAGAGATAGGGGAAGGAGCTCAGTCATCCGGGGAGGACTCAGAGTAGAGCCGCTGCTCCTCCATGTCGAGAAGAGCCAGTTGAGGAGGCTCGGGCATCTGGTTAGGATGCCTCCTGGACGCCTCCCTGGTGAGGTGTTCCGGGCACGTCCCACCGGGGGGAGGCCCAGGACACGCTGGAGGGACTATGTTTCTCGGCTGGCCTGGGAACGCCTTGGGGTTCCTCCTGAGGGGCTAGAAGAAGTGGCTGGGGAGAGGGAAGTCTGGGCCTCCCTTCTTAAGCTAGTGCCCCCGCGACCCGACACCGGATAAGCGGAGGAAGATGGATGGATGGATGGATGAATGGATGGATGGATGGATGATGGATGGATGGATGGATGGATGGATGATGGATGGATGAAGGATGGATGGATGGATGATGGATGGATGGATGGATGGATGATGGATGGATGGATGGATGATGGATGGATGGATGGATGATGGATGGATGGATGGATGGATGATGGATGGATGGATGGATGATGGATGGATGGATGGATGGATGATGGATGGATGATGGATGGATGGATGGATGATGGATGGATGGATGATGGATGGATGATGGATGGATGGATGGATGGATGATGGATGGATGGATGGATGGATGGATGGATGATGGATGGATGGATGGATGATGGATGATGGATGGATGGATGGATGATGGATGGATGGATGATGGATGATGGATGGATGGATGGATGGATGGATGATGGCTGGATGGATGATGGATGGATGGATGATGGATGGATGGATGATGGATTATGGATGGATGATGGATGATGGATGATGGATGGATGATGGATGGATGGATGATGGATGGATGGATGATGGATGATGGATGGATGATGAATGATGGATGGATGATGGATGATGGATGGATGGATGGATGATGGATGGATGATAGATGATGGATGGATGGATGATGGATGATGGATGATGGATGGATGGATGATGGATGATGGATGATGGATGGATGGATGATGGATGGATGGATGGATGGATGATGGATGATGGATGGATGGATGGATGATGGATGGATGGATGGATGGATGATTGATGGATGGATGATGGATGGATGGATGGATGGATGGATGATGGATGGATGGATGGATGATGGATGATGGATGATGGATGGATGATGGATGGATGGATGGATGATGGATGATGGATGGATGATGGATGGATGGATGGATTGATGGATGGATGATGGATGATGGATGGATGGATGGATGGATGGATGGATGATGGATGGATGGATGGATGGATGGATGGATGATTGATGGATGGATGATGGATGATGGATGATGGATGATGGATGGATGGATGATGGATGGATGGATGATGGATGATGGATGATGGATGATGGATGGATGATGGATGGATGGATGATGGATGATGGATGGATGATGGATGATGGATGGATGATGGATGATGGATGGATGATGGATGATGGATGATGGAAGGATGATGGATGATGGATGATGGATGATGGATGGATGATGGATGATGGATGGATGATGGATGGATGATGGATGGATGGATGACGGATGATGGATGATGGATGGATGATGGATGGATGATGGATGGATGATGGATGGATGGATGGATGGATGATGGATGGATGGATGATGGATGGATGATGGATGGATGATGGATGATGGATGATGGATGATGGATGATGGATGGATGATGGATGATGGATGATGGATGATGGATGGATGATGGATGGATGGATGACGGATGATGGATGATGGATGGATGATGGATGATGGATGGATGATGGATGGATGGATGGATGGATGATGGATGGATGATGGATGGATGGATGATGGATGATGGATGATGGATGGATGATGGATGGATGATGGCTGGATGGATGATGGATGATGGATGGATGATGGATGGATGATGGATGGATGGATGGATGATGGATGGATGATGGATGATGGATGGATGATGGATGATGGATGGATGATGGATGGATGATGGATGGATGGATGATGGATGGATGATGGATGGATGATGGATGGATGATGGATGGATGATGGATGATGGATGATGGATGGATGGATGATGGATGGATGATGGATGATGGATGGATGATGGATGGATGATGGATGATGGATGGATGATGGATGGATGATGGATGATGGATGGATGATGGATGATGGATGGATGATGGATGGATGATGGATGATGGATGATGGATGGATGATGGATGATGGATGGATGATGGATGGATGATGGATGGATGATGGATGATGGATGGATGATGGATGGATGGATGACGGATGATGGATGGATGATGGATGGATGATGGATGATGGATGGATGATGGATGGATGATGGATGGATGATGGATGATGGATGATGGATGGATGACGGATGATGGATGATGGATGGATGATGGATGGATGATGGATGGATGATGGATGGATGATGGATGATGGATGATGGATGGATGGATGGATGGATGATGGATGATGGATGGATGATGGATGGATGGATGATGGATGATGGATGATGGATGGATGGATGATGGATGGATGATGGATGATGGATGGATGATGGATGGATGATGGATGGATGATGGATGATGGATGGATGATGGATGGATGATGGATGGATGATGGTAACTCAAGCTCCTCCTATTTGTTGAGGCGTTCGTCAGTGAAACCACTGAGCATCTCTTTTCTCTCTTTCCTATTGAAATGCCTTTTATGAACAAACTTATCTTGCTTTTAAAACTTCTGCTATGTTAGGATGCATAATTATAAAATTATATTTTCCAAGTTGTATGAGAAACTTTTAATTCTAACGACTGAAGTCAGCAAACTTGTTTTTAGAGAAAAAGGTCAATCCGGACTCATATTTCTGAGAATACAGGATGTCTCTGCTTATCTTCTGCATGTTTTAACATAACTGATTAAATATCGTTTCTGGGGGCTGGACTCCAAAATCTTTAGCCACAGTAAGTGTTTAACTAGCAAAGAATAAACACATCCTGGATAAACATATTCTGACAGTGAGTTTCTCTATTCTTATTTTTAATCAATGTGCAACTTCTGGTCATTAGTGCATCATAAAAACTTGTAGTTTTTAGTAAATATAACTAAAGAACTCCTTTACATAGACTTATTTACTGGCGATTTACCTGAAGTTCAGAGCTTTTCAGACTCTTGTCTTGTACACAAATAATAACATGTAATTTACTGCAAATTTAGTTTAACTAGACCTTATGCGTTATAAAGATAATACTTCAACCGTTATCTACTCGTTTGTTGAGAAAAATCTTGCTAGGAAAACAGGAAGGACAAATATTTGTTTTACAGAATCCAAGACTACATGGATAAGATGAAGCTTTGGTTTCTCTACTGTGTTTCCTGCCTGATGGTTCCTATGAGCTGCGGTCAGCTGCCGGGGCCCCAGGGGCCCCAAGGTGAGAAAGGACGTAAAGGTAAAAGCTGACAAAGCAAAGTGATTATACTTGAGGAGTTTTTCTGATGATCTAAAATAATCATGAGAATGAATTTAGAAAGGATAAACCAGGAACATTTTTCATTTTATGTTAAAAAAACAAATAAAACAACAATAAATTATTTTTCTTGTTTTTTGGAATAAGGGTTCCCAGGACCACCCGGGTCCCTAGGAACACCCGGGTTACCAGGACCTGCCATCGTCTGTGGAGGAGGTGATGAATATGAGGAATAAATAAGTTGTGACAATATTTCATCCAATGAAACTCAAGTGCATCAGAAAAGAAAAAAGACAGTAGATTATTTTAGCAGAACAAGATAACTCTTTACCGCTTTGACATTGTAGGTGTTAGAGAAAATATATTTTAAAGCAACCATTATTGAAGAGCAAAGAACAATGCAGCAATACAATTCTGTGTTGCAATCAAACTGTGGTAACCAAACACATTTCCTTTCATCCAGATCGCTTTGATTCCATTGAACAAAAACTCCAAAGACTGAAGATGATCGCTGCAAAGATAGACCTCGGTGGGTTTCCGATTTAAGGTGGATCAGCCAGTTATCACACAGCAGCAAAGGATCTAATGTTAATCAGGATCTAATGTATTCCTTCATCTGTTCTTGAATTTTACTTCTTTTTTGTCCATGGATGATCTATATTCAAATTAGATCCTGCGCAGTTAGAGAAGGATCTAAAGCTATGGTTAAAAAATGAAAAACACAAAATAAAATAGCATCAAAATTCTTTCAAATGGTGGACATGTTAATAATGTGATTCTGATTTTCTCCTTTTTATCCAGCTGTTAGCTTTGACTTTGTGAGGAAGATAGATCAGAGATACTTTGTGTCCAACAAGGAGAGAGGATCGTTCCTGACGGCCGTGGAGTTCTGCTCCCAACATGGCTTAGAAGTGGCTCTGCCCCAGAGTGAGGAGGAGAACCGGAAACTGATTCAGCTGCTTGGTGAAGCTGATAAAAGAGCCTGGATCAACATCAACAGTCAGAAAGCAGAGGGGAACTTCCAGGCTGACATGAAAAATCAAGCCCTGAATTTTACCAAATGGGGAGAAAGTCAGCCGGATCCAACCGTTCAGGATACTGGCTGCAGCGTGGTCACTGAGAACGGCACCTGGAGACTGACCAAAGACTGCTCTCTGGACGCTTACATCATCTGTCAGATATAGAAATCTAACATACAGCTTCTCTGCCTTTTCTCACTTTTTGTCTTTCCTTTTGCCCTGATTATATCATCTTTATGACCTATAACTTTTACATAAGCAAACGCCTATTAACTGACCTGCATAGCAAAATATCTCCGTTTATAAATATTCAATCGTGTGGTATTTGGCATTACTTAACACTTCTATACATAAACTAACTACACCATCGATTAGCCTGACATGCATGTGTGTCCTGTCTGGTTTTTGATGATTATGGCACAAGTTAATCAGATTTCAAAAGTAAAGAAATAAAAGGAAATTATATGTCAATAAGGTTCAAAGTAACAGATATTCAGATGACTTTAAGTTCAAATATATATACATATATATATGTATATATATATATATATATATATATATATATATATATATATATATATATATATATATATATATATATATATATATATATATATATATATATATATATATATATATATATATATATATATATATATATAGAGCTGTCAGCTAACAACATGTCTGCGAGTGTGTGTGTCTGGAGGGGGGGTGGGGGGTGGGGGGGGGGGGGTTGGTGGGGGGGATGTCTAAGTGAGGCTGAGCCGCATCTGGTTTTCCACCAGAAAAGCTCTTACAAAAACATTCCAACTCTTTATTTTTTAACACAAAATAAGATGAAAAATAAATAAATGAAAAATTCATAAGAAAAAAAATCTGTAATAAATAAAATGATAATAATAACAGCAGATATAGAAGACTAGTTTTCTCCGTAGTGTGTCTGGGCTCTCCCTCAGAGATAGGGGGGAGGAGCTCAGTCATCCGGGGAGGACTCAGAGTAGAGCCGCTGCTCCTCCACATGGAGAGGAGCCAGTTGAGGTGGCTCAGGCATCTGATTAGGATGCCTCCTGGACGTCTCCCTGGTGAGGGGTTCCAGGCACGTCCCACCGGGAGGAGGACCAGGTGGAGACCCAGGACACGCTGGAGGGACTATGTTTCTCTGCTGGCCTGGGGGCACCATGGGATTTTCCCGGAGGAGCTGGACCAAGTGGCTGGAAAGAGGGAGGTCTGGGCCTCCCTGCTGAAGCTGCTACCCCCCCGACCCGACCCCGGATAAGAGGAAGAAGATGGAAGGATGGATGGATGGATGGATGGATGGATGGATGGATGGATGGATGGATGGATGATGGATGGATGGATGGATGGATGGATGATGGATGGATGGATGGATGTGTTAGGGTTACAATTATAAAATTAATGTGTGTTGTTGAAGAAAAATGATTATTTTTAGTCTTTAATACAGTTGATCTTATGGCATGCGTAAAAGGTTTGTTGAACACTTTCATTTTGACCATATTTCTTAATTTTGAACAAGGCTGTGTTAATGATTTAAAACTACTAATGGGTAAGTATTCAAAGCACAGGAGGCCATAAAATGAGTATCTCCTGGGGGGTGAATAACAGTTGAGCCTCAGGGGAGAGGTCTGCTTGGTTTACAGAAGATCAAAAGTCTTCCAGAATAAACATCTGAGATGCTGTGATACTGAATAAAATGTAGAATGTTTAAACACTAACATTTAGTTTTTAAGACATTTTTCTAAGTATTAATATCATGTTTTTTAATTGAAAATTGTACTATCTGTGACAATATCAGAATCAAATTGAAATTGTTTGAATGAAAATGTTTTGTTTAGTATTAGAAAATTGCTCAGGATATATGTTTAATGGGGTAATTGAATATGTTAGATTGAATATTATGTTTTATATGTGAGAAAAAGGAATTGTATCTCATGTTCTGTTGATTCTATGTGGTTTAAGGCAGGATTCAATCTTTTGGGGTGAAATGGTGCAGAATAGCAAGATTGAGCTGTGAAGATAACCTTTCCCTGAACCAAAATACTGAATTTAAGTTTGTTCTTGAGATTTATGGCAGGAAAGGGGCCCTCAACATTCCACATCGATTCTGTTAAACTTTATCTCATGACAGCCAGATGACCTTAGAATCCAGTGGGGGCCCGGCCGTAAATTAGTTTTTCTGAGTGTCCAAGGTAGCTTCCAATTGGTCAAGCGGAGGCCCTTATACTAAAGGGAAGGACTTATCTACATTATAAAATTTTGTGCACAGGGGCAAAAATTCAGATAGCTGCCACTATTTTGCTTTTGCACCAGCTCTCTCCAAAGACGCGTCTTTGCCTTTCTTTTCTATTTTTCTTTATGTCAGGTAAATTGAATGTATGTCTCTGTTATTCTGCAGTTTCTGGTGTAGGTTTGTGCATTGTCTTATTTCTAAGTGTATGCATTGTCTTATATTGGATTAAACTCTGTAATTCTGTGACGTCAACACGCAATGTTGGTTTTTATTACCAAACACAGCTCGCCGAGTGGACCTGGGAAGGGAAGAATGAAAAGCCAACCTTTTTCCAAAGTTAACTATGTTAGAATATTTTCTTCCTTAACAGTGTGCATATGAAACATTGAAGAAATAAGATGCTACATTTCTTTCCTGTGATTCAATCAGGAGGGTCATAAACTTTTATGACCTGCATCCAGTAGGTCATGAGGCAAAGTCACACTGTTGTGTGACTTGCATCCAGCCAGATGGTCAGTTCAGGGTAATTTCCTTTATGACCTGCCTCTGGCCAGTAGGTCATAAGGCAGAGTCACTCTGTCTTATGACCTGCATCCTGCCAGATAATCATTACAGGGTCTTCTGTTTAAGACCCGCCCTATTATGTTGTAAACGGTTAATAAAAGGCTCTGCTGTGAAGGGAACTGGGAGAAAAGGTGCTGGTTGTGAGCCAGCAGTTCTTCTCCCCTGTGCAGAGGCTGACGTTGTAAATCCCTTTCTGTGTTTGATCATTTCGTCCTCTTAAACTCACATTTCTCTGGATTTAAACCCAACATTTTTGGTGCCGAAACCCGGGAGTCAAGATCCAATTGTCCAGGACCGTGCGGGACCAAGGCCAAGAAACTGTCGACAGCCATCCACCCTTCGCCGGACGGAGCCAATAGGTTGCTCCAGCCCTGCCCTGGGCATACTGGTGACGACTCTCGCTGAGGACTGATCTACACGACAAAGGGTAGGCCTAAAGCTTTTGATCAAAAGTTGGTCTGAGACCATGTGAAAACTATAACTGGTTGTAGTCACCAGAATATTTGACGAGAACAGGTCTTGTTTACGGATATGGCATCTGTGTTGGGATCCTCAGGCTTGCCCACCAGAGGGCGCAGAGGAGCTTTACCACCTTCCACCAGCAGAGTACGCCGTGGGTCTCCTGGAGCTGGAGTCTTCCAGCACACCTGAGACGCATCTACTCATCAAGAGACCTTCCCTTTATAACCAGCTGCCAGACCTTGCTTTGAGGCCGCAGTGTTGAACTTAGTTTGGAAACCTGTCGCTAGCCTGAAGCTCTGGGTGAGCTGCCTCACAGGAAACCTGTCTCTAGCCTGAAGCTCTGGGTGAGCTGCTTCACAGGAAACCTGTCTCTGGCCTGAAGCTCTGGGGAGAGCTGCCTCACAGGAAACCTGTCTCTAGCCTGAAGCTCTGGGTGAGCTGCCTCACAGGAAACCTGTCTCTAGCCTGAAGCTCTGGGTGAGCTGCCTCACAGGAAACCTGTCTCTAGCCTGAAGCTCTGGGTGAGCTGCCTCACAGGAAACCTGTCTCTAGCCTGAAGCTCTGGGTGAGCTGCCTCACAGGAAACCTGTCTCTAGCCTGAAGCTCTGGGTGAGCTGCCTCACAGGAAACCTGTCTCTAGCCTGAAGCTCTGGGTGAGCTGCCTCACAGGAAACCTGTCTCTAGCCTGAAGCTCTGGGTGAGCTGCCTCACAGGAAACCTGTCTCTAGCCTGAAGCTCTGGGTGAGCTGCCTCACAGGAAACCTGTCTCTAGCCTGAAGCTCTGGGTGAGCTGCCACACAGGAAACCTGTCTCTAGCCTGAAGCTCTGGGTGAGCTGCCACACAGGAAACCTGTCTCTAGCCTGAAGCTCTGGGTGAGCTGCCTCACAGGAAACCTGTCTCTAGCCTGAAGCTCTGGGTGAGCTGCCTCACAGGAAACCTGTCTCTAGCCTGAAGCTCTGGGTGAGCTGCCTCACAGGAAACCTGTCTCTAGCCTGAAGCTCTGGGTGAGCTGCCTCACAGGAAACCTGTCTCTAGCCTGAAGCTCTGGGTGAGCTGCCTCACAGGAAACCTGTCTCTAGCCTGAAGCTCTGGGTGAGCTGCCACACAGGAAACCTGTCTCTAGCCTGAAGCTCTGGGTGAGCTGCCACACAGGAAACCTGTCTCTAGCCTGAAGCTCTGGGAGAGCTGCCACACAGGAAACCTGTCTCTAGCCTGAAGCTCTGGGAGAGCTGCCTCACAGGAAACCTGTCTCTAGCCTGAAGCTCTGGGAGAGCTGCCTCACAGGAAACCTGTCTCTAGCCTGAAGCTCTGGGTGAGCTGCCACACAGGAAACCTGTCTCTAGCCTGAAGCTCTGGGTGAGCTGCCACACAGGAAACCTGTCTCTAGCCTGAAGCTCTGGGTGAGCTGCCTCACAGGAAACCTGTCTCTAGCCTGAAGCTCTGGGTGAGCTGCCTCACAGGAAACCTGTCGCTAGCCTGAAGCTCTGGGTGAGCTGCCTCACAGGAAACCTGTCTCTAGCCTTAAGCTCTGGGTGAGCTGCCTCACAGGAAACCTGTCTCTAGCCTGAAGCTCTGGGTGAGCTGCCACACAGGAAACCTGTCTCTAGCCTGAAGCTCTGGGTGAGCTGCCTCACAGGAAACCTGTCTCTAGCCTGAAGCTCTGGGTGAGCTGCCTCACAGGAAACCTGTCTCTAGCCTGAAGCTCTGGGTGAGCTGCCACACAGGAAACCTGTCTCTAGCCTGAAGCTCTGGGTGAGCTGCCTCACAGGAAACCTGTCTCTAGCCTGAAGCTCTGGGTGAGCTGCCTCACAGGAAACCTGTCTCTAGCCTGAAGCTCTGGGTGAGCTGCCTCACAGGAAACCTGTCTCTAGCCTGAAGCTCTGGGTGAGCTGCCACACAGGAAACCTGTCTCTAGCCTGAAGCTCTGGGTGAGCTGCCTCACAGGAAACCTGTCTCTAGCCTGAAGCTCTGGGTGAGCTGCCTCACAGGAAACCTGTCTCTAGCCTTAAGCTCTGGGTGAGCTGCCTCACAGGAAACCTGTCTCTAGCCTGAAGCTCTG